GGGTCCAGAGGAGGGCCACAAAAATGCTCAGGGGGATGGAACAGCTCTCCTGTGAAGAAAGGCTGAGAGAGTTGGGGTTGTTCAGCCTGGAGAAGAGAAGGCTTTGGGGAGACCTTACTGCAGCCTTTCAATACTTAAAGGGGGCTTGTAAGAAAGATGGGGACAAACTTTTTAGCAGGGCCTGTTGCAACAGGACAAGGGCGAATGGTTTTAAACTAAAGGGGGGTAGATTTAGACTAGATAGAAGGAAGAAATTTTCTACGCTGCGGGTGGTGAAGCACTGGCACAGGTTGCCCAGGGAGGTGGTGGCTGCCCCATCCCTGGAAACCTTCCAGGTCATGTTGGACGGGGCTCTGAGCAACCTGATGTAGTTGAAGATGTCCCTGCCCACGGCAGGGGGGTTGGACTAGATGACCTTTAGAGGTCCCTTCCAACCCAAACTATTCTATGATTCTATGGGCAGGAAAGTTGCATCCCTGAAAGCCATTGACATAAGAAAGAACACTGGCAGGGTAATTTCTTGAGTTGGACAGAATATGAATACAGTATTAGGCCAAAACCTTGGATTTTAACTTCTGGAAAAGCCTATTGGGAAGTAAAGTAGAGAAGAGCTTGCAATCAAGACCTAGCCCTTTCCTAATGATGACAGAGACTTTTTACCAGGGCCTGTAGTGACAGAACAAGGGGTACTGGTTTTAAACTGAAGGAGGATAGATTTAGATTGGATATAATGAAGAAATTTTTTATGATGAAGGTGATGAGACACTGGAACAGGTTGCCCAGAGCTGTGGATGCCCCATCATTGGAAGTGTTCAAGGTCAGGTTAGATGGGGTTTGAACATCCTGGTCTAGTGAAAGATGTCTCTGCCCATGGCGGGGGGGTGTGTGTGTGTGTGTGGACTAGATGATCTTCAAAGGTCCCTTCCCACTCAAACCATTCTGTTTGTCTATGACTGCCACCAAAACCAGGTCTTCACTGACAGATGAAGGTAGAAACAGGCTTTCATAGGTTTTAAGTGTGGATCCACTAGTGGTATCAGCAAAGTAAAGGAAAAGAAGGGCAGACCTTCCTAAGGAGTCCTGTGATGGGTGAGAGCACCCTCTGTGGATTCAGGATTGAAATGGTTGGAGAGAGAACTGTACCTGTTGGCTTCAGAAAAGAAAGCTTCAGTCACAGACAGGGTGATCTCAGAGGAAAACTATGACAGCAGGAAGGTGAGTAGCTGTTCCGCTTGGCTACACTGATCTGTCCTGGATAAGCTTCTCTATTGATCAGACCTTTTTATTGGGGCCAGACATTGCTGAGCAACCTTTAAACATTTGGACGGTGAGCTAAAGAAAGGCAAGGCTTGGCTAATGACCGACACGAGTGCCAGGCGAGCAGAGCCAGCACGTGTTCTGGGAGGTGTAGGAACAGGCACATCACAGCCAGAGTTTTTGCCAGACCTTCAGGGGGCTTTTAGACAAGGTAGGCTCACATAGACTGTGTATGTAAAGCATACATAAACTTATCTGTGAATCAGCTGTGCATCTTCGCTTCATCGCCATGAATTTAAGGTGGTGGAATCCATCTGACGATAACATGGTCAAGTGTCTGGTCAGATGACATGGCAGGGTAGTAAAAAGTGGTCAAAAGTTTTAATGATCTTCCCAAACAGAGAATCTGCCACTAGTCAACTACCAAATCTCTAGTGCCCCTGAGTACTGAGTGGTGGGAGACGCACAAATGCTTTTCCTCCTGCTCAGGGTTCAGGGTACGGACAGTAAATTGGGCAAGTGATCGCTGCTTCTGCCCTTTTGTCACTGCTGTAATGAATTTCCTGCTCCAGGACACGGGCATCTGCCATTCTTAGTCTGCATGGTGGAGGAACTATATGAAAGGGCTTCCTCATGGAGATACTGCTGAGAGGTCATAAGGGAGGTTTGGATGGCTTGAGAAGTGACTGACAAGTTCACTGGAGGCTGCCCAGATGTCTGTGCTGCCAAGCCACCTCTGCATTAACCACAGATGAATCCAACCTAATGCTGGCTGTCAGGCATGGAGCCCAGAATGGCCAGCATACCTGCCCTTGCACAGAGGGATGACCTGATCCAGAAGACTTTGCCTGGTCCTGTAAGAGGCAGGCACCGTCATGCTGTGGGTACAGGACCCAGTTGTCACTGGCACAGGACGCAGCTTTATCTGACAAGCTTGGCGTGTTTCACCTGCTGCAGGAGCAATGTTACACGCTGCAGCACCTGCTGCGCGGGGGCCAGCCTGCGTTACAGAGCAGGGCGCGGGAGGATCCTGTGAAGGAATAGAATAGCGGGGAATGGCTCACACAGGAGTCGGACTGGAGTCTGGCAGAAGAGTCAGCCTGGTCAACCGAAGGAGGCACATACTGACGCTCCCGAAAAGGTTCCAAGTTCTGCTGCCTACAGATCAACACAGAGAGAAGGGGGTTATACTCTGACCCCTCTGGCCCCCCAAAATAATAGGCAATTCTTTTTTCCGTAGAACAGAAAAGCACTAAAGTGTTCCTGGGTTTTATTTGTTGGGGTTTTTTTTTGTTTCTTGGGGTTGGTTTTTTTCTGTAATGGCATGTCAGAACAGGACAGTCTACCTTCAGCACCTACCAAATTGCAGTACTCAACAGCCTGTGCAGGCCAATTGTGGTGGTCATTCTACAACGGCATGCATGGGGAAAGGAATGCAGAAGGGGGGGGTGTGGGAGCCATGCCCATGCAAATCTGAGTACTGCTGAAGCTAAAAAATCCTTCCATTTCCAGCACTTGAGCATTCAATGCACATACAGACAAGCACTTCAAAGAGACCCTGTTCTTTTTTTAATTCTTGGAACAAGGAGAGATAGGGAGCAAGAGAGACAAGGGCATTACATGACATAAAACCAAACTCCTAGGTTTTATACAAGGGATCAAATCTCAAATGTAGGATGTGATCCTATTGAGTGACTTGTTCCTGCTGCTCACAGGTACCTCGGGATTTTCTTTTCACAGGAAACATTTGTAGACCTTGCTAACACACTACCTTGTGAGCTAACTGAAGTGGCACATTCCTGAAAGTGTAACGATTAAAGGAGTATTTTGCCTCCCAGAGAAGTGAGCACTAACACACAACACTACAAAATGCCTCTGGAAGCAATGGCAAACAGTTGCTTTGCCATAATGAAATTTGTGAAGGAAATTGGGAATGATTACTTGACGTGTGTCTGTGTGTGTGTGTGTGTGTGTGTGTATCTTAATTAGCTGATCTTCCTCCAGTCTTCAGCAATCACAATTTATTTTGTTTCCATCTATTAACACAAATTTTTGTGTGATTGAATACATGGTGATTTTGCCCATTTTTTGACTGGGAAGTCACGCTAAATTTTTAAAAAGCAAGCAAGGAAAACCTATTTAAAAAAAAAAGCACAGATTTGTTCTATTCATGTTTGCCTTGGGGGGGGAGGGAGAAGAAAGGGGAGAAGTAAGAAAAGACCATGTCATATTCTCCAGAACAGCTTTATTTCCCTTCTATTACAGCTCTTCCCTTCCTGTGAGAATCAAAGTTCTTCTTCTGAATTGCTAATGAAAGAAAGATGCTCGGTGGGGACCAAAGCCCCATCATGGAACAGATCAGGAAATGGAGTAAGCGGGTGGTCTGTCCATGTCACAGGCTTTTATGGCCACTAACTAGAAAATGACAAAAATTAAAAGGAATACGCTGGATAAAAATAATACAGCGTAGGGGCTAATCTCCAGCCAATCAGATGAGGTATAAGGAAAATGTTGTGAATATGATGGAGTTTTGATTTTGTTAGGAGTCATCTGCTTCCAGCACTGGGACTGGCCAACCCAGGGCAGCTCCTCCAGCCAGTGCTCTGCTGCAGGACAGATGACCTCTCAAAACAGGATTTATATGAGCTGTGACAAAGATAATGATGAATATTATGTATTCTGTAAGAAATTTCTGTAAGAAATTAAAACTATCGCTACCAGTGAGAAGTGTAGATGAATGACTTTTATAATGGAGGGGGTAAAATGAGGATTTTGAAAGCACTGTTACTGCTAGAAATTTATCTATCTTAATATTTACTAGGACAAAAAAGTAGGTACGAAAGAATGAAGATAGAAAAAGAAAGAAATCCCCATTCGTTTATCTATCTTAGCAAAGACAATCGTAAGAGAGAATTAAGAGAAGGAACTAAACCACCACTTCAGTTATTCATTTTAAACAACTTCAAGCACATTTAAACAGATGTTTTCAGCATGTTCTGAGAAAAAACCCGTAACTACGTTGGTGCCAACTGAGTTGCAGTAACAATGGAAAAAATCGGAAAGTCAAACCGCGGAAGCGAAGAAATTTTGGCAATGGCAGTGATGGAGTTTGATTTACTCAGAAAAATCATAGGCATGAACCTATGAACCACACTTGTTCTCCCACAGATTTTAAGTGCAATCAACTAAAATGTGCATTCTAAGTAAGAACACTTGTCAATTTACGCCCCATCCTCAATACAGGCGAGCTTAAGACATTGAATTTTCCAGCTGTTTCACATCCCTTTAATCAGTGAAACAAAATCTGAATAAAAATAAATTATGCATAAAACCTGCATGTTATTTTGTGCTTCTTGGGGCTGTGGAATTCATGTTAGCCCCTTCCAGCATGAAATTAGACCTGGTGTGCCTTTGTAGAGCGTTGAGCACACAATTCTCTGTTTCTCACTGCTATAACATAATATAAATATCAAACAATAATTGAAAAGAGACAAATGGCAGATTTAAAAAACATGTATCTAGAAATAAATTATATGCATTTTGAAGATAAGAAAAACCAGTCACAAACATTTCCTAGAACATGAAACACTTTGGTGGCTGCAATGCTAACGCATAACAAAGTGGTTGACTTCAAGTAAAGATTTTTCTCATTTGCAAACTTGTTGATTCTGTCAGCTGAATGCAGTTAACAGGCAATAAACTCGATTTCCCTTTTGATGTGCTGTTTTACGTCTTTTACAGAGCTTCTAAGTAAGTTTTTAATTTGTAGAAAACGGGTGAGACACAAAAATAGAGAGTTATGATGTATTACACTATTTCTTTTAGAAAGCTGTTAAAAGTGGGCTATTCAATGCTTACCCAAAGCTGATATATTTAAACTGTAAGAAGTAGAGACACTTGATAGTCACCTTAACAGGGTTTACTGACCTCGTAGGTAGAAAGGCACGTTCATCTACAGGAAGTCAGTGTGTGCATGGCTATGTATGTTCCAAATGCTTCAATATCTAGCAATCTTCCTATCATAGCCTCACTTTCAAAATGACAAGTTCATTCTTTTAAACAAAAAAAGTCTGAAGGACAGAAAAATCTTTTTAAATGGCTGCAGCAAACCAGGGTATTTTCATTTATGCATTGTCTGACTAGCTAAGGTTATCTCAGATCTTAGTAACAGACCTTAAAGGAAAAAAAATCTTGCTCGTACTCAAGCAATCACCAGACAACATTCCTCTTGTATGAAAATAATATACCTTTAATTTATTTACAAGACTGACCAACTGGATGAAGTGGCTGTACTTCACATGCACTGCAAGAGCTTTCACTAGTGAACTATGTCACTCTTCATATGTCTGTATTTTCTTGATATCAGTTATAAAGCATACAATCAAACAAACGAATCGTGAAAGGGTTGTGAAGAGTGAGATAAAAGGAATGTACACAGCAATTAGACAGAAGTTAAGAGGAAAAAAACAATGAAAATCTTTCTATACCCACTTTCCAAAATGTAATTTTAAAAGGTGAAAATTGTTTTTTCACTACTTAGTAGATAATATGGACTGATTTTTTGACCTAATGTCAGCATCTACAGTAAAAGCCAGTACGCCTCAAATTTGCATGCTAGCTAGTAACATCTGTCAATTGTAGAAAAGTTTAATATATATTGAATTCTTCTGGGAGCTTCGACATCACTAAGTGGTGAAATGTGTACAACATTAAGATAAGAAAATATAATTATATTTCTTACCTTCTGGCCAGCCATTCGCAACAACAAATTAAGCAGCTGTTAATAATTTCTGTCATTTTATATCTCCCATAAAAGTGCATGTAAAAAATTTCACAGAGGTGCTAGGTAGCATACAATTACAAGAGAAAGTCTTGGATTCGGATACATTCAATTTGCTAAGTTTATGCACTAAAATGAAAGATGAGATGCAGACATTGTGGCATCAGTTCTTTATCTTTGGTAAAATGTTTTCATTTTATTATAGCCATATTTGCTCTGATATCCATTTTGTGCATGGTCTGCTATTATTTAAACCAACAGGAAACATTTAAATGGATATAAACAGTATCAGTGTATTGTTTAGTATATTCACAACGTTCTTCATACATTCTTTGAGGATGTTGCTAGCATATGGGGAAAATGAGCAAATGCTACGATCTATTATGATTTACTCCCAGTTTAACATAATACTTTTATGAGTTCTTGCCATTAGGAAAAAATGTTTTGTTTTGCTTTTAAAAGAAAGGGATCAATATGACTCTAAGAACAATAAATTCTAAAAATCTGAAGTAAAAATATCAAGTATTTTGTACTTTCTTACAAATGCTAAAATAGAAAATTACACTGGAACTGACTTAAAATTTGATACTATGATCCATCTAAGTAAACAACAAAAAAGGACCACAGAGAACATCGACAATTGCTCCAAGATGTTCCAGCGATGGTCAATAAGTGATCACTGTCTTTACTGTCCTAAAAATCCAAGTCTGACTCCCTCTCACCACTTCTATCGGTGTTAAAAGAAAAAAAGAAAAAGAAAAAAAAAAGAGGAAAACTAGTTTTAAAGCAGCACTCTCCAGTGACAAGTCATACAGCAAATTCACATTGGGTTCTGGGTGGTTTTTGTTAGACTTGAACATCATGATGATGCAAACTTGACCGTATGAACCTAAGTTATACATACACAGTTATGCCTCCAAATAGCTACTAATTACACTAAATCAATTTGGCAAAGTGAGAGAATTCAATATCCCTACACCCAAAATATCCAGCTGGTGCTGCATTCACGCAAAGAATAAGTTACATTACCACAGCTCATACACGGGGACCCTGAAACACTGAATTCCATCACAAAACCAATCTTTGCACGTACTTTTTATATATGCGATTCAAAATGAATACTGGAAACCTTTGGAATCATGATTTTGATAGAAAGTAAGGTCTAAAATTTTTCTAAGTTCTTGTTTCGGGTCTTGTTGTTGTTGTCTTTATTATTTTACAAATAGAGTGGCAAGCAGGCGATGGCAAGACATTGCATGGGTATAGGTTTGGGTCTGTTCTGCTGGCTTTATTCAGACGAGCCATCCTCAGTCACGCCAGCAGTGACACTGGACAAAACAAAAAGAACTCAAAGGGGCAGGATCAAGCTTGTGATATCAAAATTAAAAAAAAACCACCATTCACATTGTGTCTATGCTCACGTCTCAATTCTTCAACAGTTAATTCTTGGTTTTAGAAATAAAACCTGGGTAACAGTCAAAAATGCAAATGACACCATTCTGACCCATTCTTTGACACAGTATTATTATTTTCAGTATCTCAGTATCATCAAGAACAAAACAAACGTGAAGCTGCAATTACTGTAGAAGCAAAGTCTAATATTCCAATGATTTCCAATGAACATGGCACTTTCAAATTTAAATTAAGTTTAAATTTCAAACTCCGAATTAACTAAGAAGACTGCTTATAAGGGTATAATGAAAAACTGCCCCTGAAGAGCACAACGATTTAAAAAAAAAATTCTTGATTATTAGAAAGTGATAAAAGAGGAAGATGCAGAAATAGGGAGTGGAGTAATACAGTTTCAATACATGTATTTGCACCAGTGAAAATCATGCTCTCAGCGAGTCATTGATAGCTCTATCACCGATGACTTACGGTCTTTACCCATGTGCAAATGTAGTACGCCACTTCCCACTGCTTCGGTGCCCACACAGATGCAACACGCACATTAAAACGCCTGACTGTCCTAGATGCTGAGCACCCTCAGCTCCCGACAGGCCCCTCAGTCTAAACCAAAGCATAATCCTGACAATAACTTAGTGGTCAAAGTCTTAGGAATTTAAAGAGCCTGTCACTTTTTTGCTTTCTTTGCTTTTTTCAGTATATCACACTTTTTTCTGTTAGGACGCCGGCATCTTTCATCAATGCTCGGTATACATTCATAATGCCATACTTCTTCCATTTTCTCCACAGGGTAAACCGCCTCCACGTAATGACGGATTAGTCTCAGTCTGATAGGATCGAGCTGTTTTTTGTTACAAGCACCTGAATGGTTGTATTGCAGTCTGAGATTCTCCG